CTTTTGATATGATAAACAATGCCTAATTTCATATCCTGCAGGTGTATCTATAGTATCGTTTTCCAGAAATGGGAGTTCCAAGTCAAGGTAAATGTATTTGTAATTTTGGTAAATATTGCCAAATGCATCTCAGTTGGGGTTATATCACTGTACATTCCCACTAGGCTATGTACCCGTACCCAATATCACCTACAAAATAACATCTCAAACATCTGTATGTTTAATAATTCTATAGGTAAGAACTAGGTAAGGTACTTAGGTATAGTTTCATTTTGAATTTATCTTATTATGAGGAAATTGGACACCTTTTCATTAGTTTGGATATCACTTTTACTTCTTTTTCCCTTCATGTCTTTTGCCCATTGGGTTACTGACCTTTTTGTTCTCAGTTTCTAGGAGCTCTTTACACACTAGATTATCCTTTTGTGTTTGATAGGCATTACCATTATTGTTTTCCCAATTAAGGCACATATACAGTAAGAATGATCAGCAATTTGAATGAGGATAGAGATCAAATTTCTTGGAATTACATACCATGTAAACATGGAATTTGAATTTGTTTCTAAAAAGTAGGTTCAGACAGCTTCATTAAGTAGCTTCCTTACAAAAAAGAAAGCTCTTAATGGTTGGCTTTCCGAAGTGGAAAGAGCAAATATGTATCTGAAAAGATTATGTGCAACCATATCTGTGTATATGCATGTAGGGAGTGCAGGGAACAAAGAATAGGAAGAGAGTGTAAAACGAGATAAAAGGGTTGAGTGAGGAAGAGGAATAAATGCAGGGAGATAAATATATGATAGAATAAGAAAAAGGAAGACAGTTTCAGACCAAGCAAAGATCTCTAACATCATGGACAAAACAGAAAGATAATGAAAGAATAGTGCCATACTATTCACAGTACTTGATCCAGGCTAAATGGTGGGTATACCTCAACCACCTAATAAATAATTGATTACCTATTATGTATAAGATGTAGTGTTAAAATCAAGGGGATTATAATTTACTTAAGAAGACATTTAACTGCAAAAAGGTAACAAATATATAAGTTTAAAAGTAGCGTAATACACCAAGATAACTACTTTCTTGTTAGAACATAAAAAAAACAATTATATTTAAATTCTTGAGTACCAGAGTAAAAGATTACAGAAACCATGAATAAGGTATTTAAAGAAAAACTGAAAAAAAAATTTTTTTTAAGTAGACAGGCCTAAAACCAACACTTCTTTTAACTAGATAGGTGTAAAAATAATAACCTTATCTCTTGCCTTTTTTTGAAAATCAGTGCTGCTACCAGATATTTTACAAACGTTTTCATAAGGTGAATAATTCAGAAGTCCAGGGTGGCTAGGCTGAACATCCAAAATTAGCTTTTCAGACCTTGAAGGATTAGGGGCATAATCAGAATTTTCACTTGGACTAACACTAGAGAAAAAAGAAAAAACATATTTCAGTTCTTGGATAGTTTATTCACTACAAATTGCTATACATTAAATAAGAAAATAGAAAACCTGAAATGCTGCTAAGTAGATTCACAGTTATGAACATAAGGCAATGTTTCCACTAAATTTTAAATAAATCATAATTACTTTTAAACTAGCAAACTGTATTTCTAGAGCCTCTATGCTAAGATTACTTAAGATTCAAAAAAGCATTAAAAAATTAATAAAGCCCAAAAATATACTTTATACTGAGTTCTAATACACTGAAAGTGTTTTTAGTATGCAAAGAGGCTTCTCTAATATTCCTATTTTTCCCTAAACTGAAAGTTATATTAAAAAGTATAAGAAAATTATTTCTTATTCCAGAGGCACTTTAGAAACAATACACAATAATGAAATTCACATATTTTATATTGATATATTTAAGGCACAGTGAATTCTGTATGTGATTTTACCTACTTACCTGGATAACTCTTCCCCTAAACTCTGCAAACTCCATTCTGTTATCTTCAGTTCATGTCTTAAGGAAGCAACATTTGCAAGCAAACTTTCCTCTTCATTGTCTTTATTACAGTAGTCTGATGAACTAGATTCCATTTCTTAAAAAAAAATGAATTTCTTGTACCTTGCCTGAAAGATTCTGTAGTTTCAGTCAAAATACTCACACGAATAGAATTTAACTCATTAGTTTTCTATTTCAAATGTTGTGAAATCTTTCATGGCGGTTTAAAACAAAACAAAAAATCAATAATAATGAATTTATCTGTAGTGTAAAGCCATAAAGGAGTTCAATACAATTTCAATGAATGAATTTTTCATTTTAGCCAGGGTCTAGTTATATAGTTCCCCTTTTCTAAGCATACCTGATCTTCCTAGCAATTGTTAAGTATTTTCATTCCATGTTAAGGAAACTAAGAATTAGACATTAAATAACTTGCTCAAAGTCCCACAAACTGTAAATGGTGAAATCAAGACTTGAATCCAAGTCATTAGGATGCAAAGACCATTAAATTATGTCTCATTGTAGTTTTATTACTGATTACATATCAATTTCAATATGAGGTGTCTGAACTTTCACAATCACACTACGAGTACTAGACATCTGATTAAATGGTATCATTACAGTCATTCATATTTTGTTAGAAGGGAATTTATTACCAGATAAAAGTTATCTCGTCCTCCTACGCCCAATAGTTACAAAATTTAAAAAACACACATTTACAAGTCACAACCATAGGGATCAAAATAACATCTGGCAGGTCAACTTAAAGAAATAAACGAAGAAAAGCTTTTGCTTCTTCAGCGGATGAGTATCTCTAGGGTTGTGTAACTACTAAATTTCTTTGCATATAAAAAACCATAATAAAGCATCATATTTTATTATTGTAATTCATACAATAAAAAAACTAAAGCTTTATAATCTCCACTACTTCTGTAGAGCTTTCTGCGCAATCTTAAAATTACATTCCTCTTTCAGATCCCATTTACCTTTTTCATTGTAGCATTTCCTTCAACGCCCTTCTTAGCATTCTGCTCCCATCCCAAGTTCCAAAAGGTTGGGAGTCCTGTCATTACGTTCAGGACTGCAATGTACTTACAGAGGCTCAATATTTTGAATGAATTAACAAATACTAAACTATCCTTCCTTCCCTCAACCAGTCAGAATAGTATGCTACATTTATTCCCCACTCAAAAATTCTCAAATGTAGGGAGGAAGATTAAAAAGAAAACTCCCACCTTATGGAAAGAAAGTGGCAGGAAATTAAATGAGATACTGTGTAATCTTAATAGACAAACTGGTTCTATCCTCTTTCCCTTTTTTGTTTCCACAAATTTCCTTCTGCTTAAGTGACAAGACTCTCGCAGACAAGTCAATAAATCAGGTCCCCATCTTGCTTTATCTATTCAACATCTCTAGCTCTCTGTAGGATGGTGAAGGAGAAAAGGGTTGAGAAAATTGGGCAAAATCTATAATACCATTTGGTACTATATATTTCGTCTTAAATCAGGTTTTAGTTCAACATCTGTGTATTTTCATGTAAGAAATAACTGTCAGACCGGGAGCGGTGGCTCACGCCGGTAATCCCAACACTTTGGGAGGTTGAGGCAGGTGGATCACGAGGTCAGGAGTTAAAACCTGGTCAAGATGGTGAAACTCCGTCTCTACTAAAAATACAAAAAAATTAGGCATGGTGGCGGGCGCCTGTAATCTCAGCTTTGGGGAGGCTGAGGCAGAGAATTGCATGAACCCGGGAGGCGGAGGTAGCAGTGAGCCGAGATCAAACCACTGCACTCCAGCCTGGGGGACAGAGTGAGGCTCCGTCAAGAAAGGGGAGGGGAGGGGAGGGGAGGGGAGGGGAGGGGAGGGGGGGGGAGGGCAGGGGAGGAGGGGAGGGGAGGAAAGGGGAAAGGAAAAAGGAAAGGAAAGGCAGACAGAAAGACAGGGAGGAAGGGAGGGAGGGAGGAAGGAGGGAAAGAAAAAGAAAAGAAAGAAAAGAGAAGAGGAGGAAAAGAAAAGAAAGAAAAAAGAAAGAAAAGAAAGAGAGAGAGAGAAAGAAAAAGAGAGAGAGAGACAGAGAGAGGGGGAGGGAGGGAAGGAGGGGAGGGAAGGGGGGGGGGGGAGGAGGGAGGGGGAGGGGAGAGGAGGATGAACTCCCTAACTCTTCTGCCGTAGCAATGAATATATTTGATACTAAAATGTTTTCATTTTCCTAGTGGGCCATTTACTGTCAAATGAATGCCCTTAACCTCAATTTACAGTAGTTACCCAAAACAGTATATCTTCACTGACTGAATACCAAGAAAAGCACATCATCCTACTCATTGACCTTAACAACATCATCTTTGGGCCCTAATTAACAATGTGTTTGTAGGTTTGCACACGCACACCCATCAAACGAAGGACAAGTGTTCTTTTATACCCTATGTATGTGATACAATGGGCTGCAGTTGAAAAAGATTCCTCATTTTGGAAAGAGGTCATAACTTTGTATAGCAGTCTCCTGTCTAAAGATTGCTTGACACAGCTGATCCTACATCCGTCTGAAAGAAGCAGGAGTCGGGGGCGGACGTGACATCTTCCTTTCAGGTTTTTTTTTAAGGAAATACTTTTTTTTTTTTTTTTTAATTTTATGGAGACATGTCTCGCCATATTGCCAAAGCTGGCCTCGAACTCCTGGGTTCAAGCAATCCTCCTGCCTTGGCCTCCCAAAATGCTGAGATAACAGGCGTGAGCCACTGCGCCCAGACTCCTATTTTTCATCAAATAAAATACAACCGTTCAGAGGAGCATGCTCAGCAACCGCAAGGACCAGTCCCAGCGCATCCAAGGTGCCGGAAGGGAAAGGAACAAAACTCCCCCAGGTAAGCTGTTTTCCCCACGCCAAGGGGCAGTCGCTCACCACCCAAGTCGCACCTGGAGAGAGACTCACCCGGCGACTGCGCGCTTCGCACTCGAGTCTACGTTAGGAAGCCTCTGACCCTCTCCAGGGCCCCTGCGCGTGGAAGCCTCGGACGCTACTTGGAGAATCAGAGAACCCCGGCAGCACGGAATTCGAACCGCCGCGGGAGCCGTTGGGACACGCCTAGCCGGCCGCTGCCCCGCCCCGGCGCAGACTGCGTGAGGCGCCACCGGAGGCGCGGGGCTTGCCGGGGATCGTGGTCGGCGAGCGCGTCCGAGCCCACTAGCCGAGCCCGCCCGGGACTACATTTCCCACAATCACCGCCAGGATGCCCATTGGTGGGGGAAGCCATGGGAACCAGAGGCCGTCAGTGGGAGAGGCGGGCGGCGCTCACGCCTGGCCTGAGGGGGCCGAGACTGAGGCGGTGGCGGAACGGGGCTGCTGGCCCCGCCCTGAGTCCCTACCCTTTGGAGGACTGCGCTTCTCCTTCGGAGGGAGTGTTCGCCGCCGCCGCCGCCGCCGCGGCCGCCACTTGGAGTTTCGTCAGACTCCAGATTTCCCTGTCAACCACGAGGAGTCCAGAGAGGAAACGCGGAGCGGAGACAACAGTATCCCACGCCTCTTGCAGCCCGGATCACCCCAGCAGGGATGGGCGACAAGACCTGGCTGCCCTTCCCCGTGCTCCTTTTGGCCGCTCTGCCTCCGGTGCTGCTGCCTGGGGCGGCCGGCTTCACACCTTCCCTCGACAGCGACTTCACCTTTACCCTTCCCGCCGGCCAGAAGGAGTGCTTCTATCAGCCCATGCCCCTGAAGGCCTCGCTGGAGATCGAGTACCAAGTAAGTGCGGAGGATAAACCAGCCTCCTTCCTTTAACCCAGCTACACTGCGTTGTCGCCTCTCACCCGTTTAGAAACTTCTGGTGGACGGCCCGGGTGGTGAAGAGGCGAGGGCCGTCCGGGAAGCCGGCCCGCTCTGCGCAGGCGCGCGAGGCGAGGCAAGGCGAGGCTCTCGCTGAGGCCGGGGACCCAGAACTTAGGCTGGACCTGGAATTGACAACTACCCCGCCTAATCCCCTTTCCTTCGGTCGGAAAGAGGCCAGAACTGGTGATGTCGCTGGCTTTTCTCTTTGTTTCCTAATTCGCCTATCGCTTTTCTTAGCCACTACACGCTCCGATACTGAGAATTTCACAATGCGGAACTGATACACGTTCTCCTTCATCATTGGACGAGGTGATGACACTTGTTTGAATCACCCCCACCCCTTTCACACAATTCAGATGTTACAGATCTTCACTGTCTTTGCTTCAGTTAAGGGTTTTTGAATTATGATCGTGTAATTATCACTAAGCCCAATTTTGAAATTTTTTGGAAGAGGCTGTTGCTATATTTAATCATACATTGCCATTTAAGTTATATATGCATTATTTTCAAAAGATCAAATCGTATATTAAAACTTTATAACCTTTCCTTTCTTTTCATTGAGCATTGTAAGCATTTCCCTCGTGTCATTGTTTTTTTTTGTTTGTTTTGTTTTGTTTTGTTTTTTGAGACGGAGTCTCGCTCTGTTGCTCAGGCTAGAGTTGGAGTGCAGTGGCGCAATCTCGGCTCACTGCTGCAACCTCTACCTCCCGGGTTCAAGCGATTCTCCTGCCTCAGCCTCCCGAATGGCTGAGATTACTGACGTGCGTCACCACGCCCAGCTAATTTTTGTATTTTTATTAGAGACAGCGTTTCACCATGTTGGCCAGGCTGGTCTCGAACTCTCGACCTCAGGCGATCCTCCCGCCTCGGCCTCCCAAAGTGCTGGGATTACAGGCGTGAGCCACCATGCCCAGCATGTTTTCTTTTTTAGTATCTGCATAATATTCTTGCTGGGAATTACCTTATTTTATGTAGTCATGCTAGTAGGGGGTAGTTTCTTAGAAGAAATCTTGTTCGTTCCACACAGCAAATTTCGATGTTTTCAGGTAGCAGTACAGGAAAAAAAAAACAAAACAAAACAGCATTGATGTGTTTCATTTTTCAGTGTTTTAGAAGTCAATTATCATCAAATGTTAATTTTTTAACTTGATGTGGAGAATTGTTTTTAAATACCAGGTACTGTCACATACAGAGCAAAATTAAAAGTTGTAGAATTTTTTATACGATGAAACTTAAGGATTAAGTTGTATATAGGTACACAAGATAAGCACAGAGAAGAAAATAGCTAAAATCACATAGTGAGCAAAACTGAGGCTAAAACTCAGTGTTTCTTGATTTCCAGTAAAGTTCAAAAGTTCAGCATTTACTGAACAGTTAACACGTGCCAGGAATTGTGCATGGAGGGGCGGGAGACTAGGGGAAGCGGGGTTGTGGTGGTTGTAGGTAAAAGAGAAAGAAAGAATCCCTCTTCTCAAAGAGCTTAATAAGGGTTACTGGCTCATAAACAGGTAATTTCAATAAAGGATGGCTAAGTACCAGTAGAGGAGGATCACTTCTAAGGGTTTCAGAAGAGGATTCCTGGAGAAAATAAAATTTAATCCAGAAAGATGCTTAATTGAGACGAAAATGCAAGGAACAAGGGACATTTCAGAAAAAGGAACAAAAAGACCCATAGTTCTTAAAATACATAGTGTAAGTGGGGATGGTTAGTGTGTAGTGGACACTACAAGTACTGCGTTTGTATTAGAGTTAAGACATATAAAGTCTAGGGTGGGAGTAGCAGAAAAGGACATCAGAGAGGCCAGAAGGCTGGGGTCTTGAAGCCTCAATCATAGCCTTGTTTGCCATGCTGTGTAGGTTTTCCTTAATTTTGTGCAAGTCCATTTAAGATTTAAGGAGATCACTGGATGCAGTGTGGAAAATGGATTTAAGGAGAGCAAAATTGGAGTCAAGAAAACCAACTAGAGGGCTAGTGAAATAGTCTAGATAAGAAAACAATTTGTATTAATAAAAAAACTTCAGTATTTACACACATTAGGGAAGATATCTATTTTAACTACTGTCCTCTTACAGTTAAGAGCACCAGCTCAACCTTAGCCTGGGTTCAAATCTTGAGTCTGCCTACTTAAAACTTATGTGATCTTCTCACTTGTAAAATAGAGATAATAATTGTAACCACATCATAGAGTTGATTTGAAAAACATGAGTTAATAAATGCTCATATTCAATGTAAACTGGTCTATTAACATATGTTAATAGATCATCCCTGACACATAGTAAATAGTCAGTGAATGTTAGTTTTACATTTATACCTCTATAGTTACGTAGCTGGCTTGGTTAAGCTTTATTCTTTACATCTTTAGTCACTCTTAAAGGTACTGTTCTTTTTTTTTTTTTTTTGAGACAGAGTCTCCCTCTGCCACCCAGGCTGGAGTGCAGTGGCGCAACCTAGGTCCACTGCAACCTTCATCTCCTGAGTTCAAGTGATTCTCCCGCCTCAGCTTCCCGAGTAGCTGGATTACAGGCATGTGCCACCACACCCAGCTAATTTTTGTGTTTTTAGTAGAGGCGGGGTTTCACCATCTTGGCCAGACTGGTCTCAAACTCCTGATCTCAAGTGATCCGCCAGCCTCAGCCTCCAAAGTTCTAGGATTGTAGGTCTGAGCCACCACATCCGGCTGGGACTATTCCTTTAAAACATTTTCCCTAAACAATTTGATTTGATTGAGGAAAGAGGTAAAATCACTTAATATATGTAATCCTAGACAGTGTTGGTGAGATGTGTAGGGTAAAGACCATCTTCCACCCTATGTTTGCATTTCCCAACTTGTTTAATTTCCCAGTAACTACATCCTACTAATTTTTGTCTTGAAGTTTTTAAAATATTATGGAACAGACAATCCAACTTTGTCCTTGGTTACTGTGACATATTGAAAATTTTACTAATTTCTTTTTAGGTTTTAGGAGAATACTTTTTGGATAATTGACTAGCCCCACATTATATTGATAGAGGTTCTTGAAAACTTTAATGCCAATTCATGTATCTTATGAATAAAATAGAGCATCCATTTAGAAATTTAAGTCATTCTTGAGTGCTTGATATGTGTCAACACTATCCGAGGTGCTAGGGATACAACGGTGAGTGAAAATATCGGCTAGGTGCAGTGGCTCACACCTGTAATCCCAACACTTTGGGAGGCCAAGGTGGGAGGATCACTTAAGCACAGGAGTTTCAGACCAGCCTGGACAACATAGCAAGACTCCATCTCTACCAAAAACAAAGTAAGCCAGGCATGGTAGCACATACTTGTGGTTCCAGCTACTTGGGAGGCTGAGGTGGGAGGATCACTTGAGCCCAGGAGGTTGAGGCTATGGTGAGCTGTGATCATGCCACTGCACTCCAGCCTTGGTGACAAGAGCAAGACCCTGCCTCAAAAATATATATATGAGATATATGTACGGTATTTTTTTATATATAGATATCTATATTTGCGTGTGTGTGTATAGTCCATGCTGTCATAAAATCAAGTATGGGGACAGACATTAATCAAATTATTACACAAATACGTGTCAAAGTATTTAATAGGGGGAATGAAGGTAAGTTCATAAGACTGAGTGGGCTCAGTAGGAGGACTTCATTTTATCTGGAAATTGAGAGACATCCAGAAGCAGAGTTAATTTCTATAGAATTATCAGGCTTTCACTAGGCATAAGGGAATGAGTGGGACAAGACAATGGGTAAAAAAGAAAAACAACGTGCCAAGATACTAAGGAAAAAGAGAGAAAGATACCTTTGAGGTCCTGAAAGACAGGATACAGAGAGAGAACAATGGTATAAGTCTACTCTAGAGAAGTCAGTAGCAACAGCAATCAGATCATGCTGGGCTTTTAGGTCCTTGTTAAGGATATGGGTCTTTTTGCAGAGACCAGTGAGAAGCCACTGAAGAGTTACAAGCAGGTTAACTTGATTCGTGTTTTTTAAAAGATCATTTTGGCCGCAAGGTATTGAGCCTCTCTATACTAGTTTCTATATACTTATAAAATAACAATAGTCACCTGCTCCCCACTACATATTATTATGAATAAATATGCTAATACATGTAAAAGGAATGGTATCGAGCACCTAATAAGCACTCAAAAAATGTTAGCTAGAAAATAAACCCTGAGCCTAGAACAATACCTTTTTAAGGGCATAATAGGCACTAAAAAGTATCTTTGAATGAGTGAACCAGACGTTTACCAAATATGTAAAACTATCTGGGTGGGTTTTTGGGAGAATATAGCTATATCAATTTTTAAAAATTTTTATTAGTCTTTTCATTTTTGTATAGAGCTAAATTTCAATATTTTCTAGTAAACTGGCCATTTCATCTAATTTTTAAAATTTACTTGCATAATATATCTGATGCCATTTGGAATACCTCCTATTTCCATTTTATCTGCAGGTATACATGTCTAATATTATATGTATATATATGTATATATAAAGTATATGTAAATATAAATATGTATATAAAAAAACAAAAACTCAAAAGCCATATATATATAGGCACAAGGGAGTAAGTGGAACAAGACAATGGATAAAAAAGAAAAACACATGCCAAGATACTAAGGAAAAAGAGAGAAAGATACCTTTGAGGTTCATTTATATATATATGTGTGTATATATATAAATGACTTTTAAGTATTATATATATCAGTATATATAAAAATAGGTGGGTTTTGGGGAGAATAATATATTTAATAATTTGATATATATATTTGAGTTTTATATATATACACACACATATTTTTTTTTTTTTATATATATATATATATACACACACACACACACACACACTTTTTTTTTTTTTAAGAGATAGGGTCTCCAGCAATCCCATTACTGGGTATAATACCCAGAGGAATATAAATCATTC